GACAAAAGAACTACTACGACAAGAAGCGATCGTTGGTAGAGTTCAAGGAAGGCGATTATGTTATGCTGGCGACGCGAAACATTCCGTTGAAGCATGCTCAAGTCAAAAACAAGAATGAAAAGGCGAAGCTCGTGCCACGATTCATTGGGCCGTTCAAGATACAAGAAGTTGTGAACGCCAATGCGATGCGGTTGAAGCTGCCACGAAGCATGAGCAGGCTTCACGATGTCTTCAATGTGGATCGCTTGAAGCATCATGTCCAAAACCCAGAACGTTTTCAAGGAAGACCAATACCCAAAGCAATTCCTATCGTTCTCGATGATGCGGGGAATGAACTGCACATCGTTGAAGCGCTGTTGAAGCAACGGCAGTTCAATCGCAAGAAAGAGTACATTGGTCAAATGGCATGGTTTGCCCGAGCACGAAGCAACTTGGGAGCTTGAGCGCAGCATCAAGCATGTCTCCCATTTCAAACGATTGCTTGAAGACCTGCGTACAAGAATCCAAGCTGACAAGTCGACAACCGGGGGAGAATGTAATGATGGCAAGGCTGCCGACCAAGAATACAGCTTGTCACATCGTTAAGAAAACGATGGCAAGACTGTCGAACAAGCTAAAGATTGTCGCACCATTAGCGGGCAAGGCCGTTGAAGAAGCCGTAGAGAAAAAAACATCTACTTCATGTAGTTTAGTATAGTATACATTTTTGTAGTTAGTAGTTTAAGACGACAATCTAATCACTTTCCAATTTACTCTGTGAAGCTCGCTACCGTTACAGGGATCCAATTCGACATGCCGCCGCACTACATTTGGCCCGCCGCGGTGGTGTCCCAAGTTGTACAAGGGAGAGAAACACTCTTACCGGATAATTGATGTTCTCACGATACGATGCGATGGACTGAAGCTGCCGATTCTCTTTGTCATCAGAGGTAAACATGAGCGATCTGCCTTCGTTCCCCGCTGGCCACTACTATGCAGTGCAGAACAAGGCTGAGATGGACTCGAGCGTGTGACAGCAATACCTGTGGTTCGTCTTGGCTGAACGCGTCACAGGCAAGTCGGTACTTGTACTCGATAACATCAAGTCTCATGACAGTGACGAAGTCAATGAGACGGCAGCCTTGGGGTACGACGTTTGTGCGTTCCCCCTAACGTATCATCCCATTGCCAGCCTTTGTACGTATCCATCATGGCACCCTTCAAGCGCCATATGCGGGACCTATGGATTGCCGAAGACATGGTCAGCGACAACAGTGAAGACAACGACATAGACTGGATGTCACCAGCGGCTGACATCACGCAGTGATCGACCACGCAATCAAGGCTTGGGACAAGATCACACCTGAACAGGTCCGGGATAGTTTCTTGAAGCCAATTCCAAAGCCATAACTTGATTGCATTATTGCTTGGATGGCTGCCGCCGCGCAAACATCGCTGCTGGTTTTTTGTCCATCTTCGCTGCCTATGATTATGGTGCAAGTCATCTAAAGACTACAGATCGGCCATCCTCAGGAGGAGACGTTTTACTATTAAACGCCTCGGTTCTTTCAGTTAAACCCACGAAATGTTGACGTTAAATCATTATTAGTTAGGTTTTTTACCTGGTAATTAGGTTAAACATTGTGAATAATCCGGATACAATGAAAACGTTCGTACGGATAAGTGATGTATACAAACACCAAGATGTACTTGATCCTCCTTTTCGGCCAAAATGTTACCTGGTTCCATATATCTTCTGTACAAAAAGGCTGGTTGGTTTAAATTCTATTACTCCATCAATTTTTTACGAATCGAAAATCTGAACCGTAACTTCTGTTGGGCTTGTCCAGTACTATCGTTATTACGGTATATTTTCCTAAATAATATCAATATAAAGTTGGAATAGCTGTCGAAAGTCAAGGCATTTATTTGTAGTCTTTAGGTGACTTGCACCATACTTGTAGTCGATAGAGCTTATTGATTCGGTCATTTTGCGACCAATTTCAGTGAAAACGAATAAAAAATAACGAGTTTTCGAGGAAAATGTATGGGGCTTCTTCCAGGCACCCATTTTTCATATTTTAATGTAACTGTGTATTTTAAAAAGTTACATCGATCCGGTCACTTTTATTTTTCGAGATAAATGTCGAACTTCGAAATTCGTTGACCAATTAGAACTCGTGATTCAGTCCAAACTTCGACCTGAAGTATGCCTTAAATTCCCTTGTTCACTGTAGTGGGCAATTTTCGGGACAAAGGGGATGTCCCAACCGCAAATTTGGTTTTCGGGACATCCGGTGGGGAAGATTATGTCCCATCTGATGTCCAAATATCGAGTTGGGACATATTTGGGGATGCGGTGGAGATGCTCTTTTCATTTATGATCTGCTTCAACCACATCATAATGAACCTTAAGAGCATCTCCCACAGTGGTTAACTCTAAAGCATGACCGAAGTGCTGCCGTCCTTCGGAAACATATACGTAGATATCTACCACTGACAGAATGAATGGCTTTGCGTGCTTCAATATCGCGAATCCCGCGGCGCTACATTCAGGTGCTGCACCATGATGGCAATATTCATCAAATTAACGATGTTTACACAAACATTACACGAGCGACTTTGGCCTTCCAGAACCCAAGTGGGTGTATGTTCAACCAAGTGGGTTGTATGCTGGCCATGTCGCTTTCATTATGGCATGTACGCGCAAGATTGACTTACTTCGGCAAGTACGGTTCAATGAAGACACGAGCAGCGCTAGCGCGTTCATATATACCTGGGATACCGAGCTCACCACAGCCAAGGCCCCCGCTGACCACACCGACCAAGCGCACGGTACCGTTTTCTTCGATGGTCAACGGTCCCCCCGAGTCGAAATTACACGCGTCTTCTCCTTCCACCCCTCCAGCACCCAACTTGTTGTCGGGGAATTTATCGACCAATACAGCCGTGGCCCTGGAGTTGTTCCATGTCGTGACGCTGACCTCCTTGAGCACTGGCGATTGGGGGCCACCATTCTTGACGTACCCCCAGCCGCGTACCCAAGTGAGCACGTCCGCCGGAACGAATTCAAACGACACCGGCACAGGTTGGATGCTCGTGATGTTGCGGTCCAAGATTACGATGCCCACGTCGCTGCCATTGGGGTGTTTGATTTCCTGGGTGACATTGGCCAGTTCTCCGTCGGCAAAACCGGTTAAATAGTGCGTGCCCACGACCACAAATTTTCGACCTTTGTTCAAACAATGCGCCGCTGTCAAAACGACATTGGGGGCGATTAGACTGCCGCCGCATTCGGTCTTATTAACGGACGATTCCTTGAGCCCAGCCACATAACGGTGCTTGCCGAATTGGGCTTCCTGGCCCCCGAGGATTTCGAAACCGTCCTCAGGGGCCTCATCGCCCCAAGCAACTTTGGCTGGGACAACTTGGTCTTGAGGCAAGGCAGCAACGGTCACGGTGAAAGCGAGAAGGAGTGCGAACTTCATGGTGGAATTTGGAAAATGAATGGTATTTCATCTAGAGCCAAGTCAATCCAATCGTTAACGTCATACTGAGTATTGTGATTGCACTCATTATCCAGTACTGTACGTACCAAGGTTTACGAAATGGATGGGTGGGATGCGTAAAACATCATACATGCACTCGCGCAGATCTTGTCCTCTTGTCATAAATATCCAACAGCGTGGCCGACATTCTTGCCAGAAAAACCCTCTATTGTGTCTCACTGCCAAGGGATGAAGGATACATAAAATGTACACATTAAAGTAACACTTGATATACTCTCCTAAGCTCTAGTAGAGCAGTAGGTATCATCATGATCAGTGATGCAGGTATATTGTATATAACCTATATAAATTAGAATATAGCTAATCATTTGGTTGTAGATTGATGTATTGTAATTGGAATTTGCACGACCGCCATCGTACAGATACTGATTGGTCATAATG